TCTGGATCTACAAGAATTCTTTAGAGTGTTCAGTTATTTTCTTCAATTTATCCATCTCTTGTCCTTAGTTTCTGAACTGAGATTTTGTGCCAGAGAAAGGTTCCTTCTACCTCCTGCTTTTGGGTGGAATAGTAGGCCCTGATAGATCTCAACATGGATCACCTGTGTTTCTGTGCTTACTCTCACCCCCATACCCCCAAGCCCTTACCTTTGAGGTACATTGCACTGGGTCTTCAGGGCCCTCTATGGTATCTCAGTACAGAGTGCTAGGCAACCCAAGAGCTCAAGGGTCTAGAATATTCCAGTCTGAGCGCTACTAAGAATGCTGGCTCACCAAACTGGTCACTACTGCTTCAGGTTGCTTCTGATATCCGTTCTGTAGGTCTCCAACTGTCTTGAAGATTTCCTAGGGAAAGTCTTCTACTCTTGATATCTTTGGTCAGTCTCTGATGTACTATGAAGCTACCACAAGCGCTGGATATTCTGACTTTTCTACTGTCTGTGAGCTTCTCACCAATGCTGCACAATTCTGGGGTGGAAGAAGTTATTTACTGCAGCTGCTCAATAGATTTCTTAATTATTATTCCTGATGGTGCTATCTTTTGGTTTTTGAAAGAATAGGATGTAGGAACTAGGTTATCTACCTCATTTCAGGCAGCCATTTTAAAAGGAAAACTCAATGTACTTTTCCCTTGTGTCCATAGTTGAAATTGTTTTCCTGGTTCTGCTCATTTGGCTCTGCATCATTCTTCATTTCCTGAAGTATTCCATTATATTGAGATCATATAGTTTGTTCAGCTATTCCCCAAAGAGCATCCTTTGGTTTCAATTCTTTGCTACTACAAAAATTGCTTCTACAAATATTATTTCATGTGTAAGACCTTTCTTTATACACTTCATTAGCTGGTGTTCTTGAATTTATGAAACACTTGACTTAGTTCAATTGTTTCTGGGTCTAGCTTACCCTGCCTAGGCCTTTGATCCATTTTTCATTTTTAACCAGTAACCCCAATGTTCTTTTTAGAATACAATGCTATTATATTTAAATATATTCTTCATCCTCTATAAAATATTTCATTTTCTCTCCCTAAGCCTCAGTTTCCTTATCTATAAGAGGAGAGCTTAAACTAGCTATCTTTAAGATTCAATTCTCAGAAAATTCAAGTTTCTGGTCACAACAATAGTCACATAAGCTTCTTTAGTGAATCTGAAACATAATTCAATTAAAAAACATGAACTGTTTAGTTTTGATGTACATCCCTGAAGCCTAACACGGTACCGTGCACATGGTAAACTCTCTGCTAAGGTCTGGGGATACACAAAAAACAAATTAATTCATGAGCTCAAGAAGCTTATATACCATCTATCTAATGATGAGATACATTCACATTATAGATAATTATAATTTTGTAGGTATATAAAATATGAGTATCTAGATAGTCACTGATACCTATGAAAATTGACTAGGATTACATCTTACAAACAGAAGTGAGGGCAAAGCTGAAATAAATTATATACAGATATGGTTCTTCTTTCCCCCTAAGACATCATGTCCCTTTGAGTAACATGTTTGCTTCCTCATATAAATACAATTTAAATAGAAGTGGCTTGTGAAAATGTTGGATAGAGACATAGGGAAATGTGACAAACTACAACTCCTCTAAACTAAATTCCTTAAAAATTTCTGAATTTAAAATGAGTGAAAGAACACTATAAAGTCTGAAATTCTACGGTTCTATGAAACCTAACTTCAGGTATGCCAGGAGAAATGAACATGTTGGGTTCATTTTAAGACTGCACCCCCTCCCCACCAAAAAAAAATATATAGATATATCTATATATATATCTATATGTATTTTTTAGCTGCAATTGCCAGCTCCATTATAATCCTGAATGAGAAACAAAAACTTTAGGTAAAATAAAACACACTAATTCAGACTAATGGGAAGGACTTTTGCAGAAAGGCAGACATAAATCAGAATCATAAAATCAGAGTGAGAAGGGATCTCATTTGTCACTAAGTCCAATCTTCTACCTGATACAAGTTTTCCCTCCAGTGATGAGGAACTGTTTCTGAGGTAGTCTGTTTTCTTTGAAAATATTAAATACTTCCTTGCCAGAAAAATCACATACCTAGTCCCAATCTTTATCCCTATTTTCTTATACTGAGCTGAAGCCGACTTCTCTGTAAATACTTCCATGTATTAATACTACTCATCCTCTCTGGAACCACACAGAGTAAATCTAATCCTTCTTCCACAAGACAATTTTCAAATATTTAAAGGGAGGGATCATGTTCTTGCCATACTCACAACACACACTTAAGTCTCTTATAAAATTATAAGAACGTGGATCTGGAGCTGAAAAGACTTAAAAAGATTACTATTGAAGATCATTGAGTCCAACTATCTCATTTTACAAATAAGGCTGAAAGAAAGAATCCCTGACCCAGGATTATAAAAAAAAAAAGTACGTGAGACAAGATTCTAACCTAGGTGTTAATGATTCCAAGTCCAGTGCACTATCAAACACCAGGCTATCTCAGTATCTAGACCAGATGCTCCCACAGTCCCTTCGACCAACCTGCATAAACTACATTTTCAAAATCCCTCATTATCAGTCACTCTCCTTCTAGACAAGTATCAGCTTCCTCAATGATGTTTCTCCTAAAATGTGGCACCTAGCACGAAAAATAATACTTAGGTCATCTAGCCAGCAAACTACAGAGAAGACTATGACTTCCAATATCTTAGACATAATAAAATGGCCCAAGGTCAAATTAACTTTTTTGGCTGCCTAGATTCTACAATAATCACAGCTTGTAAAGACATCAAGATAATGTCCCCTCAAAAAAGTGTTCAAACCCTTTGACTCAGTGCAAGAAAAAAAAAAAAGGCAAGTTAGATTTGGCGTCAAAGAGCTTCATTTAAATTCCAGCTCAGCATGGGCTTTCTAAGTGGCTTCAGCAATTCACCTGTCTGATACTCAATTTCCTCATTGTAAAATGAGTTGAACTAGATGACTGTATAATCCTCTTATTAAAGTTATACTGGTGAGTACATATTCCAAGGAGAACAAGTGAAAAAAAAGGTCCCATATTATATTTTTTAAAAAGTCATTGCAGCATTTTTTTTTTGGTGGTAGCAACAGACAGAAATAAAGTTGGTGCCCTAACTATGGAATGGCTAAACAATGAGTAACGTATTATTTCTGTGCCATAAGAGGAACTCCGAAAAACATAGGACTTACGAAATTATGCAATATAAACAATATATGCAACTAAAACACACAAATATACATAACTATAAAAATGTCAATGAAAAGAATAAAAGAAAGCTGAACAATGAAATAATAATGACCAATTATTGTCCCAATAGCAGTTAAGACAATGCACTTCCCTAGATGGCTAAGCAACGTCCCACAAGATATCAGACTAGGTCAATATGTGATTAGTTTTGCTTAGTTATTTTTTTTTTCTTAGAGAGGAAGGAAAGTAATTGAGATATTTAAAAAAAGGAAGAAGGGAAGGGGAAGGAACCAAACTCTTATCTGTCACCTAAATCTTCCCTCTCTTCCTACCTTCCCTATTATTGTAGAGGGAATCACCATCCTACTCCGTCAGGCTCACAACCCAGGAATCATCCTGGACTCCTCACTATCTCTCACCTCCCCCATATCCAATCAGTTGCCAAAGCCTGTCAATTTCCCCTTTGCATATCTATGGAATACACTCCCTTCTCTCCTCTGATACTGTCATATTCTGATGCAGTTTCTCATCATTTCATACCTAGACTATTACAATAGCCCGTTGGTGGGTCTACCTGCTTCAAATCTCTCCCCAGAACAGGAATGATCTCTGCCTACTGACTTCCTTGGCATCTTTTAAGACCCAGCTAAAATCCCATCTTCTCCAGGAAGTCTTTCCCAACCTCTCTTAATTCTAGAGGCTACCCTTTGTTCATTATTTCCTACTTATTTAGTATAAAGCGTATATAGTAATTTATTTCTCCCTCATTAGATTATGAGCTCCTTGAGGGTAGGAACTATCCTTGGACCACTTTTGAATGCAACACTTAGCACAGTGCACGGCACATAGTATGTATTTAGTAAACATAGTAAAGACCGACAGATTATTCAAAGGTTACAATAGACACAAAATAATAGTTGCTAAGGGGAGGAGGGAATCTAGAAGAAGATCTGGAGGGGAGGGGGAAGCTATAGAATACAAAATCAAAAACGTGAAGGGAACAGACTAGATCAGTGGTGTCAAACCCAAATAGAAATTCCCTACAGGCACATACTACCTTATAACATTATCTATGTTCTATTGTATTTTATTTTGCTAAATATTTCCCAATTACATTTTAATGTGGTCTGGCCTCCAGAATGTTGTGGGCCTGTATGCAGCACCAACCTTCACCCCATGGTTTTACACCTCTGGACTGAATGATCTTTGATTGGTAAAGTGTGAATTGCTAAACATGTTTGAGAAAGAAAAATACCTGAAACACAGACACTAAGCAGTGCCATAAAAAAGCATATTTTAATAAATAGATAAGAATGATTTGTGATTAATACATCAATGCCCCAATTACTTACCTTCCTCCACCCAAACACAACAATTATAATGTCATAGTATAAAACTGCCCTTCGAAAATACTAGGAAACAGATTGTTCTCCTAAATAGGTAACAACATCCCAAGGAAAACTTGTAAATGATGTGTTTAGAAATCATTTTCTTTATGGAAAAGTAAGCTTCATTTAGTACCTTCCCAAATTATCACAAATGCCAAGGCCAATAAAGCCAAATCAAGTTTACTGTAGATTTTAAAGTATATAGCCAAAGCACCCATGTGCTTTTTACAAAAACAAAAGATTGACAAAAAAAAGTGACATCAAATCAATTCTTACAACAGAAAGATTCTCTGTCATAGAGAATGTTCCTGAAATGTCAGCTAATTTAAGAGTACTGAAAAGGCATATGAAAGAAACACCATTACCTTCATCAAAATCAGCATCATCCTCCGTGTGTTGGGGAAAGGGAAAACAATTGGTGATTTCAAGTCTGTCTTCTACCACCAGACCCAAAAGTACTCCCTGGACAACTTCATTCCCCTGTCCTTCTTCTTGGTAATGTTTAATTATTTTCAAAACAACCTAAAAGAAACCATATAAATAGTTTTACAGGTATTTGCAGAGTTCCAAAATCTTTTATCTGAAAGAAAATAAGTAGATTGCAATGCTACTGAATTCAACTGATAAAAACAATTAGAAGCAGTAATAAAATGTAATAAATATAGAGGAGTACACTGATGAGATGGGAGAGAAGGAAAGAGGGGTGCAAAAAGGGGAGAGAGATAATGAGTATGTCCTGGCTAGTAAGTTAAGGCACTTAACAGTCAAAAGGCTGATAAGATCATTATATATTTTTTTTAGCCATAGTAACTCAGAAAAACAGTCTAGTTCAACCTTAAGTTTGAGAATAGGTTTTCACTTGTCATTACTGTCTTTAGATACCAAATAACTATTCAACTATCAATTAGCTATTCAGTTACTAACCTTTATCTTGGATTGAAATTTGGGGGGGGTGGCACAACCCACAGGGAGAGGGTGAGAAGCATGTAGAAGGTAACAAATTATATTTTGGCCATAGTAGTGACAGATAACTCCATAGCACCTACAAGGGCTGGCACCCTCTTCTTTATAGTACCTTCTTCTTGACAGTATGCGTTTTGTGTTGTTTGGTAGAGGCACAATGTCAGTTAAAGGTCTGAATTAGGAGACCTGGGCTGAAATCTCCCCTATGATTCTTAACTGTATGGCATCAGACAACTCCCTAATAGGGCTGACCAAATCCTAAACTTGAGCTTGATTGACCTAAGTGATGAAGGAAATACCCTGTAGGTCCTTCTAACATTGAAAAGTTACAGTATTCATTTAAATCTATTAACTAGAAATGTAATTTACAAGTTTAGAACAGATTACTTGTTAGAAATGTTTATTAAGACACTCTTTTTTCCTATGGTGAAATCTATGGAAAAGTATTCAGAAATATAACTTGACAGACATCCTTCTCAGTCACAGCACGGGCCAACCAGGTCTTGGGTAGCAGAAAGAAGGCCAACAGCTCCTCTCTCATTTGAGGTTTGGGGAAGGTAGGTAGGTGATGGAGGAGTAAATACTCCTTTCTTCCCTCCCACCCCAGTCCTAGTGGAAGGAATGGAGACTCTTTACCTCCCACAAGAGGCAGTATGAGAATAAGGCTATTGAGAGTAGGGGATTTCAACCACAAGTTTGTGGGATAAGGGTGGAAAGTTCTATTAGAGGACAGAAAGGCAACACTGATCAGCATGATACTTTCCTTGGAAGATTTTTAGTTACAAAAATGCAATACAGCTTTAGGCCTTTAATGGCAATGTCCATAGAAACCACAAGATGGGGATGTTACCTCAATGAAAGGCTGTCTGTCTGTGTAGGTCTTCTATCAATATTAGGATCATAGGGCTGGAAGGAACCATCTAAAACAACACGTTCACATAAGAAACAGGGGCTCAGAGTGAAGTGATCTGCCCAAGGTCACATAGTAGTAAGTAGCAGAACTAGGAAACAAACCTCTATCTTTTCACTCGAAAACTTGCTTTACCCTGAAGCACACATTTTACTGTCTGTCTACATTTCTTTCTTCCTCTGTCCTTTTAACTGTGAATAATATAGAAATTAAGAATTTTATTTGCTAGCATTGTTCCATGTTGACCATGTAAAAAGAAGGCAAATGGAATATTACATATTTCTCTCAAAAGAAAAAGCTAACTAATGCAAGTTACTTTTTTAACTTACCTTTCTGGACTCCTTTCTCTTTTGAAGGTCAATGATCCCGAAAGAAAGGTTTCCCAGTTGTGCTAAAGGGGCTCAAGTTTTTCCTGAAGGTTTATTAGTCCTCAATAATAAGAGGAAACTAGAGGAAAGGGGGACTTTTTATTTGGAAACTTTATAGAATAAAATGGCTAACACTTCAAGCACTTCTGAATTTTCTGTACTGACCGTATACTAATGACCAGATTTGAAATTTTACTAAATATTTTCCTTTTTCCAGAAGCTTGGTTATATAAACAAAGATACTTCCATAAACTATGTGAAGATGTCACAAAAGGCCATTAAGTAAGTTGGCCAATAAGGTAAATTGTTCTGAACTTCTTATACTTTGTTTCATTCCTACTCCCACTGGCACACCATCTTACATAGTAATGTTTGCTAAAATATAGTCACCACATTCTTCTGAGGTTTAACTGTTGTCAGTTGGAAGAGTCTCAGCAAGAAATCCCAAACTGCAAGAAGCCAACCAGATGTTGTCTTCTGGGATGATGCTACATGGAATTATTTTTATTCCTATTCTTTATTATTCAGTATAGACACAGCCTAAGACTACTATGCATTCACTAATGATATAGCATCAGGAAGAATCATTTGATTCTTTAAAATAAAAATTCACTTGGTCCTTTCTTTGAACCTTCCTTCTCTCAAAGGATGAAAATAAGAAGCAAAAAAGAAGGGATGCTAGAATATAATTCTTAATTCAGTAGAGGACAAGATTAACTGTAATTGTATGTATATTTAAAGAAATCAACCTGTAACTATCCTAGATAGATGCTTGTGAACTGAGGCCCCTGAAGAAACAAAGCAGTTTGGCTAAATGAAAAGCAAATAATCTTGTTCCTGTTGGCATAACCTCTAAGAATGATCTGTCAAACTCATACCATGAATTGTCAATTTCATATAAGAAGCCTAGAATAATCATATTTTTAAAATGAATTTTGTTTCAATTTTGTCTTTAAATAGTGCTTTAAAATGTTCCCTCAAAGATTATGCAGAAAGCTTTGAAAAATTTATTCCATATTAGATTTTTGTTACTTTGGTTTTTACCAGCTTACTCTACCAAGTTCATACCCCAAGGAATGGAAATACTGGTATAGTTGTTATTTCTTTAAATGTAGCTAAACAGCCCATGTGTTTTTATGAACAGTCATATTTACTAGAATGCAGGTTGGCTGAAAAGGACTTCAACAATAAATCACTTTTTGAAATTCAATCCATATTTCCTAGAAAAATCGGATAAGACTGGCAGAAAACAGATTTAGACCTGTACTTTACATAATCTACCACAATACACTACCAATAGAGGCTACCTGTATATAAAAGTCACATCCAAAAAATATTAAGACTGTAACAACAGTGGTTAGGGAAAGAATGAAGCAAGGAATAAAAGTGAGCATAAATAATTATGATTAAATAAAATATAAAAGTCTTTGCAAAAACAAAATCAAAGTAGTTAGAATGAGATTGTCAATAGCAAAATAGATCTTTGTATATTTCAGGAAAAAAGTATGATACACAAGATATGTGGGGAATTCACACAAATACACAAATACGAGAAGTAGAGGAAAAACTGAGTGATGCAAGAAAATCATGAAAAACAAGTCAACAGCTTGCTAAAGGAGATCCAAAAAAATACTGAAGAAAATAACACCTTAAAAAATAGCCTAGGGGCAGCTAGGTGGCACAGTGAATACAGCACAGGCCCTGAAGTCAGGAGGACCTGAGTTCAAATGAGGCCTCAGACCAACACTTGACACTTAACTAGCTGTGTGACCCTGGGCAAGTCACTTAACCCCAACTGCCTAAAAACTAAAAAAAAAAAAAAAAAATAGCCTAACCCAAATGGCAAAAGAGGTCCAAAAAGCCAATGAGAAGAATGCCCCAAAAAGCAAAATCGGCCAAATGGAAAAGGAAGTCCAAAAGATTACTGAAGAAAATACTTCCTTAAAAATTAGAATAGAGCAATTGGAAGCTAGTGACTTTATGAGAAATCAAGACACTCTAAAAACAAATCCAAAAGAATGAAAAATAAGAAGACAATGTGAAATATCTCATTGGAAAAACAACTGACCTGGAAAATAGATCCAGGAGAGAGAATTTAAAAATTGAACTATCTGAAAGCCATGATCAAAAAAAGAGCGTAGACATCATTTTTTCAAGAAATTACCCAGGAAAACTGTCCTGATATTTCAGAACCACAGCGCAAAATAGAAATTGAAAGAATCCACCAATCTCCTCCTGAAAGAGATCCCCAAAAGAAAACTCCTAGGAATATTGTAGCCAAATTTCAAAGTTCCCAGGTCAAGAAGAAAATATTACAAGCAGTCAGAAAGAAACAATTCAAGGATTGTGGAACACAATCGGGATAACACAAGATTTAGCTGCTTCTACATTAAGGGGCCGCAGGGCATGAATATAATATTCTGGAGGGCAAACGAGACAGGATTACAACCAAGAATAACCTACCCAGCAAAACTAAGTATAATCCTGCAAGGGAAAAAATGGTCATTCATTGAAATAGAGGACTTTCAAGCATTCTTGATGAAAAGACCAGAGCTAAATAGAAAATTTGATTTTCAAATACAAGACTCAAGTGGAACATGAAGAGGTAAACAGGAAAGAGAAAATCATAAGAGACTTATAAAGGTTGAACTGTTTACATTCCTGCATGGGAAGATGATATTTGTAACTCATGAGACCTCTGTCAGTATTAGAGTAGTTGGAGGGGAAAAAATTATATGTACATAGATATAGACAGATAGATAGATAGAGGGCACACGGTAAGTTGAAAATGAAGGGGTCATATCTGGGGAATAAAATTAAGGGGTGAGAGAGAATTATACTAGGAGAAGGGGAAAGAGAGAGGTAGAATGGGGTAAATTATCTCACCAAAAAAGAAAAACAGAAAAGAAAAGGCTCTTACAGTGGAGGGGAAACGGGGGAAGGTGAGAGGGAATGAGTGAATCTTATTCTCATTGGATTTGACTTAAGGAGGGAATAACATACACACTCAATTGGGTATGGAAATCTGTCTTACCCTATAGGAAAATAGGGGGAGGGAAGGGGACAAGAGAGTAGGGGGGATGATAGAGAGGAGGGCAGATTGGGAAAGGGGGTAATCAGAAGCAAATACTTCTGAGGAGGGACAGGGTCAAAAGAAAGAACAGAATAAATGGGGGGGGCGGGATAGGATTAAGGGAAATAGAGTTATTTCATAGCATGTCTACTATGGAAGTGTTTTGCATAACTGCACATATATAACCTACATTTAGTTGCTTGCCTTA